ATCACTTCCTGTAAACATCCAACCAAGAAAGCAGTTCAACTGAAAATACTTGAATTGTAGAACACAGACCATTCTATGTTGAAATGTATGAGTATACAAATAAGTTTAATTATAAAACAAATGTATGTCACTACAGTGTATTGAAAATGTTAGATTTTATAGACGACCCCAGATTGATAAGGACTCTTTTTTAATCTGGCCAGATTTCTGTTATAGAGTTCTGTCTCAGATTCCATTTCCAGGTCCAGGACTTTCTCTGCTGCAAAGTGGACCAGACTAATGAGCTAGACCAATACAGTGCATCAAAGGAAACATCACTTCCTGTAAACATCCAACCAAGAAAGCAGTTCAACTGAAAATACTTGAATTGTAGAACACAGACCATTCTATGTTGAAATGTATGAGTATACAAATAAGTTTAATTATAAAACAAATGTATGTCACTACAGTGTATTGAAAATGTTAGATTTTATAGACGACCCCAGATTGATAAGGTCTCTTTTTTTTAATCTGGCCATATTTCTGTTCCAGAGTTCTGTCTCAGATTCCATTTCCAGGTCCAGGACCCTATCTGCTGCAAAGTGGACCAGACGAATGAGCTAGACCCATACAGTGCATCAAAGGAAACATCACTTCCTGTCAACTTCCAACCAATGAAGCAGTTTAAATGAAACTACTTGAATTGTAGAACACAGTCCATTCTATGTTGAAATGTTTGAGTATACAAATAAGTTTAATAATAAAACAAATATGTCACTACAGTGTAGTGAAAATGTTAGATTTTATAGACGACCCCAGATTGATAAGGTCTCTTTTTTTTAATCTGGCCATATTTCTGTTCCAGAGATCTGTCCCAGATTCCGTTTCAGGTCCAGGACCCTCTGCTGACTTCTGTTGAGATTAGCTGCATTGTGTTTTCAGCAGCGCTCCCTTGTGAAGCACGCAATATCTCATGTAGATAGTTAAGTGTTAATATAATGTAATTTTAACTCTGTCTATAGCTCCTCACATTTTGGGAGGATTGTATTAGGACCTTGATGCCACATAAACTACAGTAATGTGTGGAGTGAGCATGAATAAAGAGACTTTGTTCACTGAGACACAACTGAAGGAGATTCAGGTGTTCTGCTGCTTCTCCTTATCATTCACCATCATGTCAGCCATGTTGCTCTTCTTCTGTTCCCTGGGAAAAGTAATCAGATGTTATAGCTTATAGCACATAAATGTAGATAAATAACACAGAGTTACTAATGTGGAAGTTGCATACACATAAGGAATGATTTAAAACAGACTTGTTACAATAGATATATACATTTAATGTTCAAATACTATTTCTTACCATCCAGACTTACAGAATTATAACTGGAATAGTTGTGTACAAAATGTAATTACTTGTATGTTTTAGACATATACAGACTTGCAGTCATGGGTAAAACAATATTGTTTTCTTCAGGTTTATTGCTCATTCTACATTTAATAATTCATACCAATTTGACTAGAGAACTCATATCTAGACATTTTACAATAGGGTGTCATATAACATGTTTTATTATCTCACGTGGGAAACTCGGATGCAACAGCAAAATGAGAAACAAGCATGTAGATACAAGCATGTAGATTCACGCAAAGATAAACAAATGATGGAAAAATGCTGTACAATATTTAGTTATTTATAACTAATGTGCAACTCTTCAGAAAATGTGCATGTTGTGTTTGAGCAATAAAAATAAACAGACTTTGTGTTTTAAATGTCTTCCATGACTGTATGTATGCAACTTTAAATGTAATAAAAAACAAACAGATATATCTACTAACTACTCACCTGGCTGGGAGCAGCAGCAGCTTCAGCTGGGAGCAGCTGCGGCTTTAGCTACGTCTGAGTAGGTGTTTACTGTGGTGCTGCTTTGACTCCGAAGCGGCTAACGAAGCTTTGCATTCTCTCCACTATGGTGACAAAAAACACTCATTCTTCACAGCTCCATCGAGCTGCAGCTAAATATTGAAATCCAAAAAGCCGGCAACTTTCAAATGTTGGCACAAAGCTTTTATGTTTAAGGATTTGGGAGAATGTATGTGTATCTGAACAGCTGGATTGATGCTTTATCTGGTAACATTAGCTGCATTGTGTTTTCAGCACCGCTCTCTTGTGAAGAAGGCAATATATCATGTAGATCGGGTGATGTAGCGAGGAGATGAAGCTGCTTGATTAACCTGGGTGTGCAGGAGAGTCAAGTAATAATATAATGCTATTGGGCTCTTTAGAGCTTCACCAGAGATGATCACATAAAGTCTGGTGCAAATCGGATGAAGCATGTTTGATTTAGACATGATCGCAGACATGGCGAGCATTGCTACTTGCTATTTAGCCACCCCCACATGGTTCAGCCAGCAGCCAACATTCACAGAGGGCATCATCATGTCATTTTGTATCAGTTGGCACAGGATTTAATCCATTTGAATCAGAGTAAAAGTAAGACATGCAGCAGAGAAAAACAGGTGACTTCCTGTTGGAGGGGGGCGTGGTTTAGGTGAGGTCATCAATTGACCATGAGAATGCGATCATGGCTGGTCTATAATGAGACATGGAAAGTCTGATTCAGCTCTGACCTGTCCTGGAGAAGTTATTGCATTGTAATGTTTCATGGCACAAAGCCAAAGTTTGACGCTTAGCCACGCCCACATGGTTAGATGTACAAGAATTCTATTGATAACCTTCCACCTTTAATGTCTCACCTCTATGCTCAGTGAGTTTGAAGTCTGTATGTCAAAATCTGTATGAGTACATGAATCAGATGTGACGTTTTTGAAAAACAGGAAATGGTGGGTTTGATCCAAAATGGCCGACTTCCTGTTGGGTTTGGACCATGGCTCCAAGAGACTTTTTTTGTACATCCTGATGAGGTACATATGTGTACCAAGTTTCATAATTCTGAGATAAAGCATGGCTTGGGGCTGATCATGTTTTGGGTGATAAGTGTCATTTCACAAAGGCAAAGTTTGACGCTTAGCCACGCCCACATGCTTTGATGTACAAAGATTCTGTTGATAACTTTTCACCATTAATGTCTCACC